GCGGCCCCGCGGCCGGTTTTCTCCCCTCTCCTCACCTCGGTTCTTTCTGTTCTCTCTTCTAAACGACGGCACCAGGTCGCTCTCCTCGGTCTCTTAATTATGAAATGGTGTGTGTTCGTGGTTAAAAGTTTGCCCATTGCAGAAAGTGAGAAACGAAGCCCCATCCACCCCCAGTTCCTTGAGGTCAAGGGGCAGAGGTTGCCCGAGAGCCCGTCGGGGTTCCTTGACCTCTCCAGCCCCGTCAGCCTCTTTGCTCTTCTGTGTTCTTTCCGTCCTCCCGCCGCTGCCTCCCCCTCTCCCTCATCTCTCCACCCCTACTCCTCCACCCCCCTCCTCTCTCCCTTCTTCCTCCCTCTCCCTCCTCATCCTCTCCCCCTCCTCTTTACCCCTCCTCCCTCCCTCCCTCCTCCCCCTCTGTCTTTTCTAACCCAGTGGGCTCAGACTTTCCAAACCCTTCCTGGCCCCTGAGAGCCTCTCCCGGGAGAGGGCCAGGCCTGCTGTGGCGGTTGGGGGGCAGGGAGGGCAGGGGAGGGCAGCTGCAGGCAGCGTGACAGGGAGCCCGCCCAGGGCCATCCCCTGCCTTTGTGTTCTGTTGTTTACTTCAGAGGAGTCTTTAGCTTCTCGTTTAGAAAAATGAAAGTGGCGAGCAGGATTGTGGCAGGGCCCTGGGCAAGTTCTGGAGTACACGCTCCCTGGGGACCTGCCCCCACTTACACACATGTGCACGTTTGCACACAGCGGGGCAACCTTGCACATGGACATTGGAAGGAGTGCAGATACCCCATGTATATGCACGTGCACATGTGAGAGCATGTGGACACACAGGCACAGGTGCACACACAAGGCACATGTTAGAACACGTGTTCATGCAGGATCAAACACAAATGTGTGCAGGCACATATACACGTGTATGAGAGTGGCGTATACACTCAGACACAGTCATGGGTGCACGTGCATAGTCATGCATGCAGACATAAGTACATACATACATACGTGCACGTGAGAGCACACTGGCATGCATGTACAAGTGCATATACTCACACAGGTAAGAGGGTGTGAGCACACATGCACGCATGCACATGCATATTTGTGAGCACACATGGTGCCAATGAGATGTGCATGCACGTGAGAACATGTGTTTACATAGGTAAGGCACCCGTGCATCTGTGTTACCCACTTGTGCACACACAGCACAGGGAAGCATGCACGTGTGCACATGCCAGTGTGCCCAAAGCCGTCCCAGTTGCCAGTGTGTCCCTGTCCCCCTGCAGTGGTCCTATGGCTTCTACCTGATTCACCTTCAAGGAAAGCAAGGCTTCCAGTTCTTCTGCAAGACGGAGGACATGAAGAGGAAGTGGATGGAGCAGTTCGAGATGGCCATGTGAGTGTCAGGATGCAGCCCGGCCCCACCCAGATGTGCCGTGTGGGTAGTTGGAAGCCCGGCTGGATTTGGTCTGCTGACCCTCTCGGAGCAGGGCTGGTGGGAGGCGGGGTTGGAATGCCAGAGGCGGTGACAGGCTGCAGCCCACCTGCCGGCATCCGAGCTGCCTTACAGTCCACCTGGTGCCAGAGGGCCCTCATCTGCCACAGCCTGTCCCAGGCGGCCCCGTCCTCTGCTGGAAAGGGCTTGGCCGTCCTGGAGGCTGAGCCCCGCACACCTGAGCAGCAGAGCAGTGTCCTGCCAGGGGTGGCCGTGATGCCAGAGGACTCCTGTGACCCTGATCTTTAGGGCCTTGCAGGCTGGTGGCCCGTCACCTGTTTTTGAAAGCCACAGAACTGGTTTTCCATGAAGTCTAGGATGCACTGCATTCCCATGTGAAACAGAAAGGAGCCGGGTGGGCTCCCCGGGCACATCGGGCCCGGAGGCCAGTGCGGCCGGCACGGTCACCCACGCCAGGCTCTGCAGGCGGGTGGGCCGAGGCCTCTGGCAGGTGCGCCCCTGCCCGGCTCTTCCTCCTGGCGGAGGGAGGTGTGGAGAGGGCCTGCTGCAGCGTCGTGGGGAGGGTCAGACGGGATCCTCTGGACACAGCTGGGTGGGGCCTGGGACGTGGGTCGGTGGCGGCCAGCTGGTCAGTTCCCAGGCTGCGTGGGCAGCACTGGGCCCCCCAGTTTCTTGCTCCCCAACATTCTGCAGTGAAAGTATTAAGTGTCTGCAGAAGTTGAGAGCATGGCACGGTGAATGCCCAGTATCTGTTTAGCATTTGACCTTTCGAGCTCACATACGATGAAGTCCGCAAACCTTAAGTTTACAGTCGCTGAGTTCTGACAGATGGCCGCACCTGCCCACGCCCAGCCCTATCAAGACTTAGACCATTACCCTCACCAGAAGGTTCTCTCGTGCCCACACGGCTTAACGTGAAGGCTCCCACCCTGGCTCTCGTGCCCGCGGGGAGTCCGGGCCCCGAGTCTGCCGGGTGTCGGGGGCAGAGCCAGGCTTGGTGTCCAGGTCCCGCCTGCACAGCCGGGGTCCGAGTCTGGCTGGTCCCCGGGGTGGTGGCCACGTCCGTGGGGCTCGGGAATGTGGCAAACGCAGCTCCTGCCCTCTCTGCCCGGCCAGGTCCAACATCAAGCCAGACAAGGCCAACGCCAACCACCACAGCTTCCAGATGTACACGTTTGACAAGACCACCAACTGCAAAGCCTGCAAAATGTTCCTCAGGTGAGGGACCCACCCCCCAAACCCCCCGGAGCTCAGGGCCACATCTGTCCCAGGTCCTTGTCCCTCTGGCCCCACTCTGGCCCCACTCTGGCCCCACTTGGTCCACAAGGGGCTGGGGGGGGGTGTCCCCCAAGCGTCAGGTTCAGCAGGGCCCTTGGGGTTTCAGATCTAGCAGGAGGCGATTGTGCCTAAGTGCCCAGGGACGCTGTGTGCGGTGGGAGCCAAAGGCCTGCAGGGCAGACAGCCAGGCGGGCCTACGGGTGGGGACCGGGGCCTTGACCTTGGCTGAAGAGCAGGATGCAGCCTCACCTCCCCCCGCCCTCCCCCTGCACAGGGGCACCTTCTACCAGGGTTACCTGTGCACCAAGTGCGGCGTCGGGGCGCACAAGGAGTGCCTGGAGGTGATGCCTCCCTGCAAGATCAGTGAGTACCTGCCCTGTGTCCCCGGCCATGCCTCTCACAGGTGACCCTGGCACACAGCCTGCCTCTGTGTCCCTGTGTCCACAGAGCTGCAGCCTCTGTGCCCCGTGTGGGCACAGAACAGCCCGCACCAGTGAGTGTTAGGTGACGTTAGGTCACACCTGCCACGTGTGCTGGCCGTTGGAGTTCTTGCCTTGTCTGGCGGTGGGGTGGCAGCCGGCTGGGCAGATGGCCGGGGGGAAAGAGTCTTCGGAGCGTTTGCCGTCCATCTGACCGGCAGAGGGGCCCCGAGTCCTTGGGCGTGTGGGCGCCTGTGTCTAAGGTGAGGACAGGGATAGGCGGCATGAGCACCACACCTCCCCTTCACCTGCCCCTGCAGGCATTACTAATCGATTGCGGACATCTGCCCTGTGAGCCCCAGGTGCCACCTGGTGATGGGGCAGCTGCTGCACCTGGGCAGGGCCACTGTTTGCCTTCTTGGGGCTGCCACCCCCCTGAGCTCTTCTGCCGGCCCCTAAATCCAGAGCTCAGAATGTGCTCTCAGAAGTCATTGAGAGGCTCACAGCCGTGAGCTCAGGTCTGCGTGTCCCTAATCCGCGTCCCAAAGCAACCACCTGGATGGACGCCTGGCTCACTGACAGCCAGGCTCGGCCCAGGCTCGGCCCAGGCACCCCCGTTGGCGGGAGCCAGAGCCACCACGGGCCCGGTGTCTCGGTCCCCCTCACACCTGGCTCCCTTCCTTTCCAGGTTCTCCGGCGGACCTGGTAAGTCCCCCAAACTGCCCCTCCGTCTGTCCCCTGCCTTGCCCCCCGTCCCCCCACAGCCGTGTGCTGGAGCCAGGAAGATCAGTGTTCAGTTGTCACTGCCCACTCGCTGGTGTGGATGTGCCACCGTGGGTCCTGTCCTTCGTGGACGTCCTGGGCCCTGGTGGTGTCTTCCTGTCCCAGCTGTCCCCAGTCCTGCTTGTAGCTGTGGGTGCAGCTCTGGGCACGTGCCAGCCCCCGCCCCCAAGTCCCCGTGTGGCTCCGAGCCCTCGGTTTGGCTGACCTGAGGATGAAGTCACCGGATTCGCTCACAGGGACCTTGTGTGTCCCCGAGCTTCAGGGTCCAAGTGAGCCAGCATTTAAAGGGCACTTGCCGGGCCCCTCGCGGGGCGCAGAGATGCCTCTGGGGGAGGGAGACCCAGGCGGAGCCGCAAGGCCCAGTCGTGGAGGTGGTTAGGGCCGGCTTCCTGGAGGAGAGGGAGCCCGTGCGTCCTCCTGGGAGGGGAGGGGTGCAGAGGTGGAGGGTGCGCCTGAGGATATTGGAGGGGTGTCGTGCAGGAAGCAGACCCCCCCCTCCCCCGTACACCGCTCCCTGCCTCCACCTCTAGCTGGGAGTGTGTGGGGGCAGGGAGGGCCGATGCTGGGGTCGGAGGTCGGGGAGCAGCTGGCCCTCATCCCGTGCTCTGTCCTTGTCCTCGCAGGACGCCTCTGGAGCGGGACCAGGTGAGTGTGCTGGCCTTGGCCCTCCGTGTCCACGTCAGCCGTGCCGGGAGCCCGGCCGGGGCGGGGCCTGGTGCTGCCGGCTCTGCTCGGCCGTCCCCCACTCCCGGCTCCCCGAACCTGTCCCGCCTCGGGCCCCTCCCGCCTGCCTCTCCCTCGTCTGTGGCCACCGCCCTGGAGTGTCTGGTACAGCCTTGCGGGGCCGTGGGGACAGGCCCACGCCTTCCCCCAGGGGCCACCAGGCACAGTCATTGCCTGCCCCCAGGCCACTAGGCACTGTCCCTGCCTGCCCCCGGGGCCACCAGGCACTGACCCTGCCTGCCCCCGGGGCCACCAGGCACTGTCCCTGCCTGCCCCCAGGGGCCACCAGGCACAGTCACTGCCTGCCCCCAGGGCCACCAGGCACTGTTCCTGCCTGCCCCCAGGGCCACCAGGCACTGTTCCTGCCTGCCCCCAGGGCCACCAGGCACTGACCCTGCCTGCCCCTAGGGCCACCAGGCACTGTCCCTGCCTGCCCCCAGGGCCACCAGGCACTGTCCCTGCCTGCCCCTAGGGCCACCAGGCACTGTCCTTGCCTTCCCCCAGGGCCCTGCAGGGGGTCAGGGTCCTGCACCCCAGGGCCACCAGGCACTGTCCTTGCCTTCCCCCAGGGCCCTGCAGGAGGTCAGGGTCCTGCACCCCAGGGCGAGGCACCAGGCCGTGCCCAGAGCCCCGGAGCAGAGCCGGCATCAGTGCATCACTCTGCCATTTCCTCCCCTTGCTCTGGACGGCACGGCGGGAACTCGGCTTTTACATTCTGAGGGTAGAAAGCATCGTGGTGTGTGAAACCTTCAGTGCAGTCCGGGCAGGCTGGATAAAATCTGACTCTCGCCGGGAAAAACCAAAACCTGCCGCTGCTACTGCTGGCGGGAGTCGGGCTTGGGGTGACTCGGCCCTTTGAGAGCCGCGGGCGGGGCGGGGTGGGGGCAGAGCTGGGCCCACCCGAGAGTGGCTGCAGGTCCTCTGGGGGCTCAGCCAGGACCCATGCTGCAGGCCCTGAGTGGTCTTTGACCAGCCGTGTGGCCCCTGGCAAGTCACTGGCCCCCAGCCCTGTCATCCCATCTCCGACACATGGGTCCCCGTCCCCTGCTCCCCTGGCCCCAGGCTGGACCGGTGATTGGAAGATAGCATGTGATGTGCCCTCAGAAATAAGCTGCTGTGACCACAATGACACCCTGCATCTGTTCATCACATAAATTTGCTTATGACATTTGTCAAAACGACACGGACACCTTACGGGAGGAATTTGGGGAGGGATGATTCAGGCTTGGGTGTGCTGGGGGTGTCTCTTGCTAAAGGGCTCCCCCAGACGGAGGCCGAGTTCTGTGGTGGGGTGGGCTGCCAGCCGGGATGAAGTCACCAAGTGAACTCCCGCCACCCCACCCTGTCCCCACAGGTCCCAAGATGGTGGCCGTGCAGAATTACCATGGCAACCCGGCTCCTCCCGGGAAGCCTGTGCTGACCTTCCAGACGGGGGACGTGATCGAGCTGCTGAGAGGAGACCCCGAGTCCCAGTGGTGGGAGGTGGGTCCTGGGCCTGGCCCGGGAGGGAGGGTGGGGGCTCCTCTCCCTGTCCTGGGCAGGCTGGGGGTGAGAGAGGCGGCCAGCGAGGTTTGGCAAGCCTGCGCCCTGCACCGTGGTGTGGCATAGCCTCGGACCTGGTTCATCCTGGGGACCTGCTTTGCGTGACGGCCGGGCAATGTCCTTCACAGGACAGGCGCCGATCCTGCCGGCACCAAGGCCCTTCCCCATCCGCCTCTTGCCTCCTGCCTTTGCTCTGATCCCCAGCTCTGTTTGGCCGAGTCACACCACCCCTCATCCCTCTTGGTTGCGGCAGGCCCTGTGCACTGTCCCTGCCCTGCCCCCCAGGGCACCAGGCACTGTCCTTGCCTGCCAGGGGCCACCATGCACAGTCCACTGCCCTTACCCAGGGCCCATAGGCACTGTCTGCTGCCCCAGGGCATAGGCACTGTCTGCCTTCCAGGGGCCACAAGCAACTGTTCCTGCCAGGGGGGAGGGGGGAGGGGGGGGTGCCCAGGGCACTAAGGCCCTGTCCTGCCTGCCCCCAGGGCCACTAGGCACTGTCCTGCCTGTCCCAGGGCCCACCAGGCACTGTCACTGCCTGTCCAGGGCCAACCAGGCACTGATCAACTGCCTGCCAGAGCCCACCAGGCACTGTCACCGCCTGCCCCAGGGCCCACCCCAGGACTGTCAACTTGCCTGCCCCAGGGCCACCAGACTTGTCACTATTTCCCCCAGGGCCACCAGGCACTGTCTGCCTCCCCAAGGCCACCAGGCACTGTCACATGCCTGCCCCAAGGCCACCAGGCAACTGTCACTGCCCTGCCCCAGGGCCCACCAGGCACTGTCACTGTCTGCCCCAGGGCCACCAGGGCACAGTCACTGCCTGCCCAGGGCCAACCAAGGCACTGTCACTGCCTGCCCCCAGGCCACCAGGCACTGTCACTGGCCTGCCAGGCCCAAGGCAGTACTGCCTGAACACCAGGACACTGGTACTGCTGCCCAGGACCAGCACTGGTATGCTGTCCCCAGGCCACCAGGCACAGTCACTGCCTGCCCCGAAGGCCACGCCTGTCCTCCTGCCCCAAGGGCATGTTGGCAAGGGAAGACATCGTGGCACACATGACGATCGAGGTAGTGCGGTTTCAGGTCAACAGAATTGGGCGCTTTGCGGGTGGGCGAACCTGCCGTAGTCCCCACCCGTCCCGGCACTCGCCGGCTGGCCCACTGCGAGCACGTGCCTGGGGGCTTTCGGGGCTCTCCACCAGCGGGCTCCCTCGCATCTAACGTTGGAGCAAATCGGCTCTGTTGTCCGTGTTTGCTCTCGCTGCCTTGTGGTTCTGCCACGTTTGTTATCGTGGCGTTGTTCAAGTCATGCACCAGACCACACATGCCACAGATACACACGCACACACACACGTGGCGTGCACACATACCAGTTCGACTGGCGGTCAGAGGGCTGTGGCCTTGGCAAACGTCTCCGGCCTTGTCCTGCCCCATCCAGTGAGAATAGCATGCCAGTGTGATTGGGCCGGCTCGGTGTTCTCATCCTAAGGCGCCCCATCAACCTCTGCCCGAGCGGTGAGCCAAGGCGCCTGAGGCGACAGCAGGCGCGATGTCGGGGTTGTGGAGCCTAGCCTGGCACTCCGCGTCAGCCGCCTGTTTCCGACGCTCCTCTCCGGGCGCTGGTGCAGACCAGGAGTGGGTTTCCCAGCCGTCATCCCTGTGAACCTGCCTGTTGGTGGGGTTGAGTCCTTCCCATAGGCTTCTGGGAGCTGCTTTGCGGGGTGAGGTCAGGACCGTTTCCTCTCGTGGGCTGGCTCTTCGGATCTGGTGGTTCAGGCTTGCTGTGAAGCTGCCCCGGGCGGAGCCAAGGGTGGGGCGAGGCGGAGCCCTGTTTTAAGGGCCAGCTCCCGGGTCCCTGTTCTTTTGGTGAATGCTAGGTAGGCGTCCTGCGCAGCTCAGTGGCTGTCAACTTAGGACCTCTAGCCTGGAACTGTTTGCAAAGCCCTGGGGGGAGTCCAGTCGATTCACGTGGGGTTGTCACGTCTAGCGAAAGGGTGTGGCGTGCTTCTTGGCGGCGTGCGGAGTCCTGCTGCGTCTCAGGCGCGATACCTGCGTACGCACTTGGCCACCCCACAATGCGGCTTAAGAGAGGGCAGCGCAGTTTCAGCACCACCCGAGGCCAGCTCCGGGGTGCCCGGCTGGCCGTGTCCCCAGCTGCTCTGCGGGGACAGGGTGTCCGCACTCAGGTTCTTCGGACGACGGCAGGGATAGTGCCACAGCTCTCCTGGGGCCAGTCTCCAGTGTCCTGCACGTGGATGGGGCTGGGAGGGGCAGGTGGTCTCGAGGCTCCG